CACTTAGGACCATTTTTCAATCGTAGTTTTTAGCCATTCTGCTCTCAGATGAAAGCTCAAAGACTCAGGGAGTTAATCCTGGCAACGATTTACACAATCTCACCATTTTGGGGACAAAACATTATCTTTTTTTTTCAAAAGGCACTGATAGGGGGCACTTTTAATGTTAATCAGCTGGCCAGAAATTCTCACTTGAATTAGTGGACTGCACCCTATTGGGGGGATTGATTACTGCCACCATCATGAATAAAAGACCTAGAATTGGAGGTTATCTGTTCAGAGCCATGGATCAAACTGTAACTGCATTTTCAAAATATAGCCTTTACATAGTTTGAACGTGCTTTTAAATGAGTTGCTTTTTGTTCCGAATAAAATGCCCCCAAAATAGTAACACCGCATATACAAGGCGTCCTCGGAGGACAGATTTTTCCGACAAGATCATAAAATGGCCTTCGTTGTAGTTGAGGGGTGTACCGCAGTGCAAAATAGAGGTACGTGGTTGTAACAAATCTTAAAGCATCGACCGGACCTCCCTCCCTCATATCTCCGGTCAATGTTGTGTCTCATAGGTCGTGGTATGTGCAGCCTGGGAAGGGTGTGGCTATTGACACGTGTCTCAACCACTTTGGCCACGGATAGCATCACCAAGAGAGCCGATGCCACGCTAGGATTTCCAAAGAGGAATCTCAAAAACTCAAAATTGCAAACGGTCAGCCTTGGTGCGATCATGTGCAATTAGCCCTTGAATATGGGACAACTGTCTGTCCCTTAAACGGCAGTAAACATCAATTGCCTTAAGCGCCTCCAACACCGAGCCGCCCGCATTATCACTAGTGACTACAGCTCGCGGCATACAGGATCAGTCACCAAGATGCTGCAAACCCTGAAGTTACATGCTCTTCAGGAGAGACGTACAAAATTATGCCTGATATTTCTATACGAGGTGGTTGCGGGGCTGGTGGCACGGATTCCCTCTGATCTCTACTTAACACTCCCGAAAACAGGGAGAACAATTACACCAAGAAAGCCTAGAAGTTTTCACTCATCAAACACGCAGTAAGCTCCATTGCCGCAAACTCTTAAGTGCTTTGAAGTACCCAGGTGTAACACAGACCAACTTAAAAACTCGTTCTTCAATAAACAAATCATTGACTGGAACCACCTCGACGACATCCCTGTTAAAGCGGACTTGGTCGGAAAACCTTCTTGGTCAGGTGCGTCACTCTCCATAGCAACATCCAGTATATACCGCCCTCTCTCCGTTGCGTCTACGGCAGAATTGATGTCGGCAGCGAACCACAAGCGCCACTATCCACTTTGTTATGCATTTTGCGAACATCATCGTAGCAATCTGATCAGCTTCTGAGGAAACTCTATAATCCGAGGGCGCCCTATATTCTACGGTGATTTTCTGGCAGTTTATTAGACACACAAAAGACAAAGCACTACAAACCTAATTTTCAAACAAATTAAAAATCACATTCCAATAACAATTATAGTTTTATTCATGGCTATGGATGGACATTCTACACTCAATTATTGGGACCAGGACCAGCACAGACATACATGTTAAATTGCGCCTCCACATGTTATAATGTTATATTATGTCCATATATAAAAGGGACATTTGTTTGACGCATCAAAAATGAAAGAATTGAAAAAAAAACCTTCACTTTTGACCTTCGTTCCATTTAAAGTTCACTGACCGCACAACGAGACAAAAGGGAATAAAGCCTAATTCTAAGAGTTGTTGAATGGAATAATTTCACAGGGTGCAGGCCGTTTACAAATTGTGACAACCACCAAGCCCTCATCCATCAAAAAGCCAAACATCTCACTAGCCTTTCCCGACAAAGGCAACAAAAATGTGGGTAGATTTTTTCAGGAAAATGGGTGACTGTTTCGCTGAATGCTTATATGACACCACCGCAGTAGTAAGCGCGGAGATGATAAATGAAGCTATTGTAGACACGATACTTGACGTGTGACTCTAGCAGAGGACTCGGTTTCTAACAGTACTGTCTATGATGCATGTCCTGTGCTTGCAGGGCCCGGCAGGGTAGATTCCAATCAGGTTAATTTTATGGTGCAAGGATGTTTGACTGCATGTCTGCCTTGACCTTCTTTGACTTCTTTATCAAAATGCGTATGTATAATGCACGGCCACAACGAGCACACTGTACTGTCAGGATCTGACTTGAGAGATTCACTGATTCAATAAAAAGAAGTAGGCCAACAGTGCCTTTCTAGCTTTCTGTATCAGTTCCACAAACCAACCACTGCTGGGTCAGATGTGGGCCAAATACGTAAGAAATGAGAAATTCTGAACTCTGGTTAACAATTCTTTTAAATACAAATGTACATTTTTATTCAGTGATGTACCGAGCGGGTATGTGCACACACATTAGAAAGTACTTGGAGGCAAACACTTAAAACAAGAACAGGCACTAGTTCCTCATATTAATGCAGAGAACTGTGATCTACCTCTTCTACCTTTTAACCCCACATCCTGGTCTGGTCCCCAGAGGTCAAGTCAACATTACAAGCCTAACGAAAAGGACCAGATCCCCCAACAGGACTTAAAGCCGTATCTGAATTACTTGACTGCAGCTTGAAATTATATACGCATGAGCATCATGGTAGTGGCTACAGTCAGTTTCCATAGAGCTGTGTGATTTTAAGCCACAGCCACGACAAGTGGATAATGCCCTTTATTGCTGCATTTGAATCCCAAGGCAGAGACACCAGGGGCTTCTGTGGGGAAAGCTGGCTGGCATATTCCATTGCAATTTCACAGAACTGCTCAGCAAAAATCTGGCGGGAACCAGTCATGATAAATATACTAATCTGTCCATGACATTTTGGCTGATAACCTACTTTTGCTAAGCAAACTGTTTCATTTGCTGTAAGCAAACTAGACCCATAGTAAGCTCTACGGCAATTGTATGTTCTATTGATCTAAATGTACAACAATGAACTAAAACAAAAAGAACCATAAACACCTTGTCACAGAGTTTCAGGTAAACTGCTGTGTGCCATGCACATGATAAAAATGGACACAAAGACAGTACCGTTACGTACAGTGATTTGGGCCGGCACTGAGTTTTCTGCCCAACACTGTTACTTATAACTTGCAAATGATTGCCTCATTGTGAACTACACCAAATTAATGGCTCAAATCAACAACAGAAGTTATAGAAGTACATTTGACAAAGGAGCACGCATAACTGTCTGCTGAAATAGTTAACAGGATAACACTGATATGTCCACACAGTACGGTTAGATTTGGAGCACCAAACGAATACCAGTCCTACTCTTGCCCCCCCCCCGAAAGAAGCTGATGGCATTAGATCGTTTCACATCAGGCTGTGCTGTATCCAACAAAGAAATCTCCTAAACTTAAATTAACAAATGATATGGTCATCTTCTGTGGGCAATGGATGTTGTTTTACTCAGGCTGATTTACTACGACACCGATTTATTAAACTGAAAGACAACGATTTTAACTTCTGAAATACAACTACCACGAGAAACAAAGGTATCTGATAACTCTGAATTTCTTTCAAAACGCCTGTAATGTGTAATTTCTGGCACTTCCAACTAGAGCAACTGTCCCACAGACATCATTTTATGATTGAAACAAGAAACACCGTCAGAGACAAAACACACAGAAATGCCTGCATAATAAAATTGTGCCGCTCTGTATTTGGCATTAACAGTTTGTGTCAGATACACGTAAATCATTAAACACTTTCTCATGATTTTTTTTTTTATTTTTTAGCAGCAGTGGAACACGAGTTTACACAAACATGAGACACAGAATGACAATTCCTCAGAATAGCATCCTTCAGAGCTCAAACTAGAGTCTAAGTGAAGGAAGTGAAGTGTTCGTCCAATCCCCACTGCCTGGGCAATCCCTTAGTGGACTACAGTTAGAAAGATATGTCACTGCAGTAAAGTGTCTTGCCTAGGGACAAACCCAGGATCTCTTCCATGAGACTACAAGTGAGCCACGTAAAAAAGTGACACCAGGGTGAGCTGCTAAACTAGCTTCTCATCTCCAATACATGCACGTTTCCTTTTGTATCATCTGCATGTCTAATTTACTTCTCTTGAATGATGCCAATACCACAGAGAGAAAAAATCACACACACTCAGAACTCTCCATATCTGCTCCAGCACTGTAGCTACAAAGGTATGTAAAATTGGAACTTGTGCCCTGTACTATTTATTGAAAAAAAGTGCACAACTGTGGCATGTGCATTTTCAAAAAGTTTTGATTTGGATATGAATCATCTAAAACCATTACCACAACATATGTATGGAACTTTAATAGTGCATAAAACAAACTCCAAGTACTAAATTTGTTTTCTACCTATTACCTATAACAACAATTGAACAGCCATATATTATGAATTATTTCTTTTATCGTCACAGACATTTTCAATTTGTAATGTCATGTAATGCATTGTAGATTAAACAGAAACAGGTTGACCAACGGGGAGGGGGGTGTTAAAATGGGAATTCTGTACAATAAATAATATAAAAACTACTAAAAATAAAAAAAATCTATTTTCAAAAGGCTGCTGTTTATTGTTTTTCAGGAACAGAACTAGCATCGCAGTATTCTTGATGATATTCCACACCTGGTGCATGGCATCGTGTTAGACACAGGGGATGAAGCAAAAGCAACCAGTAAATTAAAAGCAGGAGCAGGGAAGTCTGTGCGTTAATATGTTGTGTTAATAAAAAAAAATAGCAACAATATTACGTAGGTTATACATGTACTTACAATACAGTAAAATGCATTTTAACAAATACATTATATACACATAGGCATTATGTTTGCAACTATTCTCCAACGCTTCCCATTGTATAATAACTACCCTCTTTTTGGTAGATGGAATGGTCCATGTCTGTGTTTGTCCAATCAGGCTTGAGAATACTTTAATGCCTGTGGATGCATGATCTTTCATAGGGTGAGGTTAAAGTCTGTGTAGTTGGCGAATCGCTCCATTTACTGTTATATATATATATATATGAATGAAGTGTGCTATTCACTAACAATTACAGAAACCGTGTGCTGCAAAATGATTTAGCAGGATAAACCAGTATGTATCCTTGCATTAAATTAAATGCTGTTCTTTAAATCTGGTCAACAGGACACACCAACCAGTGAATGATAATGGCTCCTTCAAAGGAAAGACTGCCCTCTATGGACTGCACAGAACGGATAGCGCATACATCTACTGACCAACGGAGTACCTTAGCATACTTGAACCACTAAAAAGCAAATACAGCCATTCTACATCAAGATACACTGATTTCCAAATTACCTCTCTGCCTGGCAGAAGATCAATATACAAAGACTTTTAACAAAAATAGAAACTTTATTATAATTGTTATTATCATTATTATAACAGTTCTGTTCTGCCATAAAAATACTTTTTTTTTTAAAGCAAACAGTATACTTATAGTATAAAGACAAAAATATATACATGCATAGAAAGTCTGCACTTTGAAATCTACATGCCACTTTTACAAAATGCCACAGTTGACAAACTAATACGTGTGCTTACATGTTTGAAACCATGACGGAACCAATTGAACTATGCATTTAAATGACTGCGGGAGAATTTTGGTTTTGAGAGATGTGCAGTTTTCTGGAGAAATCAACCACCTAAAGTGCTCCCACTATTTCCAAACCTTTCCCTGATTTTCTCACCCTTCCTTTCCCAAACGGCATTGGGCATGGACCCCAACGTTTGTCTTGTTTGGGTTTTTTTTCCTGGACACTGCTCTTTTGCCACAGGTCGCAGGGGCGGGGGTAAGTGAAGACAAACTCCACTGACAACAAGGTTGGGCCCCAGAGGGCTGGAACAGACGAGACAAAAGTGTTGCTCCGTTCATCAATCCTTGTTCAAGATTTCCAGTGAATCAGACGTCCAACTTTAGTTCTCTCGCTTGCAGTGGGTCACTTTTCTGAAGTCTACCAAAATGGCAACGCATGACAGCTGTGCCCAAATCAAAATCTTTCTGTGTCCCTTCAAGTATTATAAACATTGGCATTTATAAAAATGAGTTAGTGAACTTTGAAACGGAAAAAAAGGAAGGTGGCTTAATGCCTATGCCACATACATGACACAAGCAAACAGAGAGACACAAGGAGGGCAGAGATCCTGGGAGCACCGGGTGCTCCACTGCCCGTCTGCTTGCCGCCCTCGTCTTTCTTCCCTGGGGTGGTGCTTTCGGGGACCTCCCCTCTCTCTTCTTCCTCCAAGCTGGGCCTGGCCGTGGTGGCTCGGACGGGGGGCCTGTGGGTGCTGGCTTTCCCCCGGGTAGGCCGGAAGGGGAATTGGCTGGGGGTGGGGGACCCGTCGGTGGGTGTTTTGGCTCCATCTCCATGGCTTCTGTCATCGCCCTCCCCTAAGGGGGTGGTGGCATCAAAGTGGAAGTCCGTTTCCTCCGCGGTGGTTTCTGTTTGGAGAGAGGGGAAAAAAGTCGTGAGGACATCCTGAATAACTAAGCAAGGATGTGGACTTTGGAAAGGTTTTTCTTTTTCAGTTTTTACTACAGTGACTAGCAAACCAACTTAGAAGCAATCTCCAGACAGGACAGCTCTGGTGTTGTTTCAGCTAGTTCATTCCAAAGTGCAAGCCAATGACCTCCAATGCCTTAGCGGTTTCCACAGATATGTCACTGTGCCGTGTATACTGAAGTCTTGTGTGAGGGCTGATTTCATGGAGTTGCCGGGTACACAAATTTCACTAAGCCGGGAAAAGATCAGCTTAGCTTTTGGTTGCCAACCAAAATGCTGTGAGTGGTATGGAGCCCATGTCTGGCCTTCTGCTGCTTTCTGCTAAGCATGTGAAGTTTCCAAGGAAACATTACTGCTCAGAACTCAAAGTTATATGACACACCAACATGCTACACCTACACAAATTTCTAATTCGAATTTCTTGGTTCACCCCCCAGGATTTATTAAACAACCCACTGCATAAATGATAGAATGTAAGAAATGACTTGTTTACATTTCACTTTATAGACAACTTTTTAACACGTCCAATGGAACTCAATTCTGATGGTGTTACTGACGGGGAAACAACTCTTGTCATGCATAGTTTTTCTTTTGTTATCTGAAATCGAAGCTAGTTCCTTCCTGTGTTGTCCAGCCGTTAGTCATAACAATAACACTGTCTGGGATCTTATCGGCATTTTCTCATTGCTGACCAACAATCAACCAAAAACCTGTCCTCGACTTCCATCTGAAAATGATCACTTAGCACTGTGAATGTTTCAGAAAAAAATTTTTTTTCTTCTAGGGGCTTTAGATATTGGGGGGGAGGGATGTTGAGGACTTGTGTCAGAAGAGGGCCTTCTTGAAATTGTAACCATACTGTTACACGCAACTCTGGCAGCGACTGCCATCTTGGGGCATACACAGCTGCAGAGTTTTTGCCAATATCTGTTGGCTGCTGGCAGTGGCACTGATACCGGGCACGCGTATCACTTGAGGACTTGATTACAATCGCGTAACCTGACATCTGCCGATGAGACTCAAAGTGAATGAACAAAGCGTGAACTGTTGAACATGGCTGACATGCTGCCCCAAGCTACGTGCACCAGTGAAGATTTCTCTGATGTTTTTTCCCAAACTAAGAAACCCCCCCCCCAAAACCCAGCTTTTGTTCACTGCGTGAGTTCACTATGACAGTGCGTGATTTCTGATCGTGATCCAGACAGATTTGATTTTGTTGCGGTTTCATCATAAGAACTAATTGTCTGCTTGTGGTTGTCTGTGTATAGCAGAAAACAATGCATGAAATATGCATGTCCTTCCGGTAGCCGTCACAAGGTCAGTTCAAATGGTCTACCCAAACTTCTCAGTCATTTCCTGGAAAAACAAAACGAGGAATTATCCCCCCCCAACAAAACAGACCGAGAAAGAGACAAAGAGAACTACTTGCACTTAATGACAATACAAGTTTGATACATTTGATCACAGTCCATTCTTCAATCTTGTTTTTCCTTCTTTTAGGCAAGAGAAGCTGTTCTTTTTTTTTTCCTTTTGTTTGTTACTCCTGTCAGCTTGTCGATGTGAGGCTGACCTGGTAAAAGAGGACGAAGGGAAGACCAGAAAGGAAGAAGGACACACCGACAGCTAGAATCGAAACCACAGCCATATCTGAAAACTACTAAAAAAAGGTTTTGGTTTTGTTATTTCAATTCCCTAAAAAAAACCTATGTTTTCAGCCAAACGGGTACCTGGGGGTCTTTTGCACTTTCCAAATGTCGATATAATGCGTATATGAAAAAAAAAATTATAACCAAAAAAAAAATCAACAAATTCGAACAATTTTCAATTCAAGGTCAATTTGGAATATCAATTTTAAAAAGTTGTCCAAGTCCCTGCAGAAAACCCTTAGTAAATTCCCAATCTATTCACAAGCCCATCAGGACAGTGAGTGAACCAATAACCTCGAGAGACATTATGACGGGGGACTTCTGAAAAAGCTGGTGAGATGGGCAACTCACCCTCGGTGGTGGTGGTGAACACCATGTCAGTGTGATTGCCACCGGTCTCCGTCCTTGCTGAGTCTCCCGACCCACTGATGCAGTCTTCATCATCGACGCCATAGCAACCACTGCCGCTGCCACTCCCGCTGAACTCACCATTGTCGGGTCTTCTGTTCTTGCCCTGCAGCTTCAATCGGATGGCCTGGGGAGGGGGGGAGGGAGGGAAGAGGAGACAGTGCCCACGAGGGGATTAAAATCAATTTACTGTCTGCTCACCTTTGAGATGCCCTTTGGCAGTTATTACATTTTGGTTAGAGGAAAACCTAATCTGCCAAAGACCCTCTGGCAGGACGTGCTAAAGTCTGTAGAAAGCACCCGAGAGGCGTCCGCACGGGAGCTCAGCTTGGCACACAAATTCCAAGGAAAACTAACATTAGCGTGGACACCGAAAGCTGTGGGAATCGAAATCTGGGTCATACATTGTGGATATCTGAGTCAAGCCAAATTCATTTGTGAATACCCCATCAGTGTAAAGACCCAGTTCTCCTCACATCAAGTGAATAAAGCCTGGGCTGCCAACGCTTCGTGTCATGAAATTTCCTCTCACACAGATACGGGTGCAAAACTTGTAGTTGGAGAGACAAGAGTATACACCCGCGGACCGGGACCCAATTTCACGGTGCTGCTTAGCACACGATTTCACGCCAACAGAGGCTCCACGCATTTCATGGAGACCATAAGCAGTAAAGCACAGCCAAAGGCATGCTAACTTTGGTGGAAAAATGTGCATAAACGTAGTGATGTAACAACAGAAATCCCTACACTCGCGCAACCTTCAGCACAACCATGCAAAACACCGCCATGAAATAGTGCTTGAGGTCAGCAACTTTGTCTAAGTTAGCACAACTTTTCTGCTAATTGTTTAGCAGCCAAGGTCTCCGCAGTTTTTCCTTGTACATATACAAACCATCTGAAAATGTCGAGGAAAGTTTCAAGTCCAAACAGCTGGAGTGAAAGAGGCGACAAGCCAGGGGATCCTAACTAGCACAGTAAAACCAGACAGTATTGGACTCACATGTGTGATGGCTTCTAGCTTGTCCATGAGAGCAAAGGCTTGGAGCAATTCAAACTCTCGCCCCGTCCACGACACTTCTGGATTGCGCATTTGCGCACCCAGGCCATTCTGGACCGGTGCCATGGAGTACCTGCACATGACAAAATGAGACAAGAGAAGAATTATGGACAGTTTGAAGATGCTAGGGTGAGGAGCTTAGACTGCGTCCAAATGGATACCACTGAAAATATCGTGTATGTGGTGGCTAACAGCTAAAGCCAGTGCCCACGGATTCATGTGTAACTCATAGCCACAGCCGCTCCATTCCGACTCAGCCATTCTGTGAATATTGCACACAACTGAAAGTACACACCAGTAATTTGGCAAAAACCGTAACCTCTTCACGTGGGCAATCGGCTGCATGGCGCCAACAGTGCTCGACTGGCGATCCTGCCCTTCTTTGTGGGGACTGGTGAGAGGGTACTTGTGAACAAAAAGGGATCGGAGATTGGAGAGAAGGGCTCGTGAAAACTAATGGATTCTGCTCTGGGTACACTGACAGTTACATGTCATTATGCAAATCAACTAGAGTAAAGGCTTAAATGGGCGACTCTGGTTATTAAACGAAGGACCAAGTGCGGCTCAAGAATGGTGGTACAATAAAGGTACGAAAGTTTTAAGTCACAAGTTGGCCAAAGAGGCTTCAACATCAGTCAAATTCAAGTTACGTCAAAAAGACTCTTGTATGTTCTACAAAGACCACAAACAAGTGTACTATGTTGAAGCAATCAAAATAACGGTAGAACCTCTCATCAAAAAGGACATGTTGGATGATTTTGAAACACCTCACACCATTTTACAAAAGAAGAAGTCGGTCAATGCAAACAGGAAGAATTATGTAAGATGCAATCGCTGCTCACAAAAGAGATGACTTCCTTTCAATTCCTTGCAAAACTCACAACTGCGGTGGGCACAGCAGACTTCTTATCATACCATAAATCACCATGGACATGCAAAACCCAGCACTGTGACTCCAAAGAAAAGTTGCCTAATCCCCTCAGCCTACAAAGTGTGAAATATTGCTGCAAGCTGTGCTCGTTTGTCACACCGAAACAAAAATGGGGAAAAGGGGGGGGGGGTTCACCGGGGTCTTACACCTGACATTGTGCCTCTTTTCACTCTGATCAGCAGGTGCAAGGCCATAACGCCCTCAGGGAAATGAGAAAATGGCCAGGTTTTTTTTTTGTCACTTGCCGTCTTTATGTCACGATCTCCCTTGCCTTGTGGGTGTACTTTTTCAGAGAGGTGGAATGTGAAAATAATGAATTGTTCAATTGTTGTTTGATTTATGCGATAATATCAATCCCGGTTAGGACGGTAGTTTGCTCCCCAAACTAGATTTCTAAATATTTACAAACACAGGACAACATTTAAAGGATTGTTCTCAGTGAAGCTCAAGACAAAACTTGGACCAGACAGCATAGAATGATTCATATCACGTTACTATGGCATCTAAGACATACTTGATATCTGATGTAGTAATGAAGAAATCGCTTTAAGGAGCAAATATGCATTTAAACATGTTAAACATTTAAACAGCTGTGCAATGTAATGTCCAATTGCAGAGTTTTAAAAGAGGTATGAAAAGTGAAGCATTCAATAGAAGATCAGTCTCCCAGAGTAAGGCCACATCCGAATTACTTAGCTATGGCGTGAAATTACACACGACTCTAAGGAAACTGTCCCTGACCACTACCATAGACCCGCGTGTATGTTCAGGCTACAGCCAAGTATTAAACTCAGACAGGGTCTAGGGTTAATACTGGGTGCGTATATGGCCGACTTGTATGACAATCTAGGCCAGCTGTTAAAATTTTAAAATGCCATTTAAATCCATCAGGTGTGGAAAAAGGGAAAGAGGAGAGTTCGCCCACCCCTTAAAAAAATACAGCCCTCCCCCTCCTCCCACTGGTTCCTACACCACACCTACATCAGTCTTATCCCCTGACCCACCCTATCTCACTGTGAAGTGTTCCACTGAAGGGTACAGTCCACTAATTCAAACCCCATTGAAAACAGTGTAAAATCAGCACTGTTCAGGGCCCAATAACATGCGCGCCAACGTCCCTGAGATTTCTGAACACAAATGAAATTCTTGTCTGGTCACTAATCTTTCAATTTCTTTTCAATTTGTTGTGGGTTAACCAATTACATTTTTAATTATTCCCACAAAACAAAA